GCCCACTGTGTGTTGCCTGTGTGTTGATGTTGTGTGTGCCCACTGTGTGTTGCCTGTGTGTTGATGTTGTGTGTGCCCACTGTGTGTTGCCTGTGCTGCTGTGAGAGACTGGACAGGACCTCTGGCCTTTGCCACAAGAGAAACTGCATGAAATGTGGGACAGACTGGAGTGGGGTGCTCTGAAAGATCTGTGGGTTTGAAGGCTGTGTTGCCTCTCACTTCCTCTGCTGCCCTGATATGCACTCATTTACAAAAAAACAAGTGGACAAGTAAGACAATTAAAAACTTTGTGGGGCAAGGTAAGAATCACCTTTTGCTCACTTTCAGAAATCTCCAGCTGCTTGTCAGACAGATTTATATTCTCACAATATGCCAACATCTCTGTTAATGCCACCCCTCCTGCCCCCAGTAAATAAGAACACAGTACCCAACTGGCACAGACACTTGGCAGGAAAACTGGAGCTGATCAGGAGCTGATAAGAAAAACAAGAAAATAACCATTATAACCAGTTTTGACTCCAAATCTCAAATGCCACATTCAAAACCTGCACTTAAAAATCTAAAAATCAAAGGTCCTGCAAATACTGTATACAGTTATTACTATACACTGTATGTACAGCCACATACAGTGACCTACAAAAAGTCAGATTGGTTTCTTTCAACATTCATATGCAGCACACACTCTTATCTTTCCCACTTCCTTATTTTACATTATAACATAGAAATAATGGTTCTCTGCAGAGAAATGCAGGCAATTAAGATTTTATCTGGGTCCGGTGCCAATTGAAAGAACAATTACCAAGCAACAACTCTCGCAGTTAGGCCATCAGAAAATGACTACCGCCGTTTCCGTCTGCCTTATAAACTCTTCTACTGCTTCTCTCGGTACCTGCCTAAATCTCCTTTATCCGACCTGACGGCTTTGCTGCAGATCCTACAGATTTTTCTTCTGAAACTTGACAAAAATAATAAACAGATTGACCCTGCTCTGACAAAACATGATAAGGCCCACAAACAAGGCAATAAAACCACATACCACTCATAGCTCGGATGGGTTTGATGTAAAGCACTGGACATTAAATCACTATTAAATACAGTAGTAATGCACAGACGCGGGCACTTAGCTTCATGGTGAATTAATTTATTGCCTGAGCGAAGCACAGCTCGTTGAGCCCTTCTGTTTTATGTCCAGGGTGCTTGACTGGAGCAGTTCTATGTGTAGTCCGGCGTTTTGCAAAAACACCTCCACCAGCCCGGTGCTGTCCAAACCCAGTCCTGAAGTCCTCCTGCGCCTGCAGGCTTTTGGTCCAACTGATGAAGTCAGCCTTCCGAACCTCTGAGACAACCATTTGCTTTAAAACCCAGTTTCGGTGGCTCTTCAAATACAATGAGAAGTACTGAATGCTATTAAAAATTAGAATTAACTCTTAGGCTTTCACAGTTCCTCTCCTTTAGGTGCATTGCTTCTATTTGGAATTTAAACAGAGGGTCTAGAGGTCACTAAGATGTTTATAATGTGAGTGGCTGACAGTGCGGAGGCCATATTGATCGTCCTCCAGGTCTTCTTTAGCAGACCTCATGTGTCAATGAAAGATCCAGGCTGTTGAAAAAAAATCATTAAAGATGCCCATTTTAGTTTTGTGTTACCCCTTGAGTGTTTTTACTGAAGCAAAGGATCGTTTAATAGTGAAGGTACAGAGTCTGTACCACAGAACCCTGCAACACTACTGGGGGTGATTGGTTTATTCTTGACTCGAGGGAGTTGCTACCTTGTCTTTTGGAACACCTGGACTCTGGTGTTGGCTTTGACAATGCTGGGTAATTCTACTTTTGAACTTAATACACACGGGTTAATCTTAGGAGGGCTTTGTCAGGGTCCCATTCTGGGCCTAGTCAAGTACTGGGAAGGGAGTCCTCCACAGAAAAATAGGTTGCTGCAGCAGCAGGTGGTGCTGGTGGACCAGCAGGTGTCGCCCTTGCATCTCGACCAGAATTTCCAAACAGTTTACGCCACAGAGGTCCTGACTACTTGGTCATAAAGGGAGGGGAGTTAACCCAAGTGTCCTGGCTGAATCCCACTCTGGACATGCAGATTCTTATCTCCAGGAAGTCTGAGCTTTATTCAGTCTGTGAACTAAATTCTTCTCCACCTGATCTGCTGTGTAACGGGGCTGCGAGTGCAGGACAGATGCCACATGTCACCAAGTGGAGCTGCATCTCAGTGCTGGAGGAACTAGATCCCCCCTGTTTCTGAAGCACCCTTGAGATAACATGCACCATACAAATGCAAGTAAGAGTCAATGAACAACTACCCGTTTAGTAAACGTGTCACACTTTTAATTCTTAACTCCTTAACTAACACTCACAACTCAACAAACAAAAGTCCAACCATCGTAAAACTTGTGAAAAATGAAATAACACGTAAAGTACTATTCGGAGCTTAATATCACAATAATAAGACTGGAGGAACAAGCATCTCAAATGGGAAGGATGCTCAAATGGGAAGCGAGGATTTCTTCAGGAATCACTTTGATTTTTTAATCTTCCTGTTTCATACTGCCGAACCACTGCACACACAAGACCTACACGCATGAAAACACGAGTTTCCTCCTGAAAGGCTCGATGGATTAGAAAACGACAATCCAATCCATCCCTCTGAATAAGAGTCAAACACCTAATCCCTCCAGATCTGCACGGGAGTACTGACTGGTGGTGAAGGAGCTGCCACACAGGCCCCGCCAGACTCGTCCAGGCACTTCAAGAGAGGCTGGGGCTATAAAGGACTGAGTCGACACAAAAGCAGTGGAGCTCAGCTCCTGATCCTGAGCCACCCCACAGGCGGCCCGGCGGTTTGCCCCTTGAAATGAGCTCATGCTGTTCTCCCCCTCTAAACTACCAGCGCTGCAAGAAACGCGCACAGTGTTCGTCAGCACTACAGCCAGCAAGCGGCCCAAACTCCTCTGCGCGCTGCCCCGCGCTCCGTGGGCTGGGCCGAGGAGGTTGACAGTCAGCGCCCTCTGCTTTCATCTTCTCTGAGCCCCCGAGCAAAAAGTGCGTCACTCAGCCCAGACGTCAAAAATCATCTGGAATCCGTGACACCGATACACCGCTAAGATTAGTTCACAAGTCCCCCCCCCCAGACTACCTTTTAATCTGTGCCATCTACAAGCGCTAGATAACAGCACATTATAACACCAGCTCTCAGCCGCAGGTAAATCTGACTGTGATTACGGCTCTTTCCTGTTGACTCACGGCGAGCAGTTACATCTCTCTGTTAAGCAAGAGGACGACCTATCGTTGTGTAACCTCACTTACTTACATCTACAATGAAACTGTTTAGTCTATTTAAGGCTATTAAAGTATTTCAACGAAGTATGAAACCCAAGTGCCCAAAAAGGAAATCTTAATTTGACCTTCTAGTCTGAGACAGCTGTAAAAGCATGGATTTCTGATTCTGTGCGAGTGTGTGAACATTGTTCGCACACAGCACAGACTCAAGACCACCTACAGATCAAGTAGTCACTTTAACAGTTTCCAGAAAACTTGGCCTACAACTTTTCTCTTTTTCCATGGCCTTTAGGTATGTTACCGTGAAATATTGTCAGGGATGACTACACAGAGCCAAAATACATCTCTCAAGTGCAGACTCTTTCTGCCAAGACAGTAATGGCAATTCTCACAATGCTAATTAGCCTGATGCAAGTAGGTGCTGTAAAAAGGAAGGAAATAAAGTTTTAAAGCGAAAACAAATAAATCAAATAAAAAAACAAAGGTAACATCCAAAAAACCATTACACATATTACAGTATAGACTTTTTCCCCCATCAAAAGGAAAGGAATGAAGGAAAGATTTCATTCCAAACCTTTCAGTAAATAACTGGAGGGGTATTTCACATGAGTTGTTACACGCTGATGTCTACAAATTAGCAGCTTGTTTCACCTTATAAAAAATGTGCAAACTGAGGTAAATAGTCTGTGAGTTTGGCACATGGTACTGAAAAGAGAAAAGAAAAACTCAGACTCATTTTACTGTATTAAAGAGGCAAATGAAAAACACAAATGAGGAGCTGCTGGTGTGTCTGTGGATAATATTACATTAGCAGGAAATTTGTCATATGGTTCAGCAGCATGTCTGAACAGTCCCGTACTGAGTGAGCACGCACATGTTTCTATAACCACACCGTGGTAGACATCGTTAGGACATACAAATTCCACAGGATGCCGTTCAAAGCTATGAGCCACGAGACAGAATACTAAGAGATGACGCGGCCAGCTTAATTTTATTATCCAGCACAGTAAAGTAAGGATGTGTCCGTTTGCATCCCTCCATCTGTTACCTGTTACCAGTCAAATACTTACGATATCAAGACAATAATGCCAGCAGCATTTCAGAATCACAGACAGAAGAAACCACACGTTGCATACAGCGTTTCTGTAAACAATCCTGATCAGAGAAGGAAAAAGGAACTCTTGAAAGGAAGCAATTGATTTTATTGACGTGAACAGAGACTTCTCATTTCGGCATGTGTCACCATTTCGCAATGCATATGCGCACAGTGCAGCCAGTTCAAAAACCATGTGATACTTATTAATGCTTTTTATTAAGAATCTGAGTGTATGCACTACATAAAATTGGAGGATACTGTCTGTATCAGCACATTCAAGGCCGTGCTGTAAGGCTGTATCAACATTCCATGCCACAACAGACACGGCCGTGCTGGTTAAAACATAAAAACACTAACAGGATTTCTCAATTCATCTTGATTTGCGAGTTCCTGGTGTCAGTCATACTTCATGCAATATCGTCTTACTTTATCTATTGGAGTACAATGGGATAAATCCCAGTATTGAATTAAATAGCCATTTCCCCCCGTTTAGCAGAGCTTGACTGAAAAGCCACACACCGTTTTAAAAGCAATCCATTAGACTGCAGTATCAATCACTGTATCAGCAAGTTATCTGCACATGCCCTGGATGACACGTTTACATAACAGGGCTTTACTGTGGCATTCTTTATAACTAAGATTAGAAAATGTATTTTTCTATTAAAAGTTTACAGCTAAAATGGTGTCCTGGGATGTATCAAACTTAATGGACTGCAAGACATTTCCCTTATCACCTATTTTGGCAATAGACATGAACTGCAATCAAGGGGAGATCGAAACTACAATGTGAAGATTGCTCGGCGGCAAAGAAGCATTTCTTTTTGCCGAATGTCACCCTGAAACGCAAAAAAAAATAGTGTGTCTACACATTAATTTGCTGGCTCCTGTAGTTGAGGATGCTTGTTTTCCACGGACCCGAATGTAACTGATCGCACCAACACAGGATCTGCTACCTGGTTCTGTCTTTATTACACTCCTCTACCATCGCCTCTGGGTCTTTCACAGAAATTCTGACCCTCATCTGCTGTGGTCCACGACCTTTATCTCCCACAGGTAGAGATCGACTGTTCATCCCTTCATGCCCGCTTTTATCGCCGCTGGGGATGGGACACACTTGGGCCCACACACCAAAAATCACCTAAATGAGTGCCGAGACCAAGACGACTGGAGGTCTCCTTCACTGCAGCCCTGTCCACCAGAACAGAACAGCTGTTAAGAGGTTCCATCCAGCTGGACGGCTGGTTCATCGTCTGCCTGCTCCGCCCTTGAGGCCGCGGTGGCCACTGGCCAGCGTGCTGAGTATGGAGGATGCAGGAATCCTAACAGGTCTTCAAGGTCACCGACGCGCTCCAGGAATTAAGCCCTGTCAGTCCTGATCCAACACTACTCACTGTACCTTCCACCAAGCGCCTTGTTATACCATGGTGAACCTATTTCACAAAGCACCATTTCAATCCGCACTTCCACGGAACCAAAATGACCAGCCAGGCATCCTGCCCCACGTATTTACTTTGAATATTTAAAGCTGAAAGAATACCAAGATCTTTAAGTGTCAGTATGCAAAGAAGGCTGACAACTGCATTGTCCATTTCTTCCAAATCTGTTAAACAGGCACAAATTGGTCAAGTTGAGTTCATTTCCTATGTCAGTGCTAATACAATGCTGAAAAGGGCAGGACTGTAAACCTTCCCTTTCTTTCACAGGGAATGTGTTCAAACACAGAAGAAAAGAACAAAGTTCAACAACTGTTTGCCAAGGAAAGATCAGCTCCCTTCTCTGTGCCTACACCTGCCTCCTGTCATGGGGGAACAGATTTGTCATTTCACAAAGTCAGTGCGAGGTTGCCAATTTTCAGCTCCTAGGTTGGAGTTCCCAAAACCCTTGGGGACTGATTCTATGTGACTGACAACTGACAGGTTCGAATGGCAGTTATTGTCAGCTGTAACAAAAATAAGCCCAAAACGGATTTAAGAAAATCACACTCTTTGGCAAGAATTGCTTATCCTGCATCAACAAAAGCTCCCAAATATTCTAAACCCCACAGAGGTTTCAGGCTTTTGGACAACCTGCCATTAGCATGACTTTCTGTAACAGTGGTACTCAGCAAACCAGTTGCACTTCGACACAATCAATGAAAGATAAGACAGATGGCATAATAAATCAATATTAATCAACAATGAGTTAACTGCCATTCGATTGTTCAGCTTAAGATGTTTATTTTTATTTTGGAAAAGGGATGTAACTATATAACAAGAATGCTGAAAGCAGAGGTTTTAATCAAAATGTAATTTCTCTCTCTCATTCACTGTCCTGTGAGTAAGCCTCTGTTGTTTCCGAGTGCCTAGTGAGGTGCGATTCTGTGTGACCACACCATCAGCTGTGACCACTCTAAAAGGCTCCCCCCAGGCTTGCTAGCTGACTGCAAGGGGAAACAAGCAGGGGAAGAGGATCAGCGATGCGCAGGCTGTGGTGCTTCAGGAAGTTGTGCTTTTCCGTTCCCACCTGCTCGATCAGAACTGAGCGGGCTTTACAGAAGCTGTTTTTGCTGGAATGGTGAGTCATGACATCACGTAACACTCACAAATGAAAATGAAAATAAGTCCAATCCAAAATAACAGTGAAATGCAGACAGCATAAACCACGGCTTTAAACAGAAATCAAGCTAAAATAAAATCCCGAAGCCTACTAAACATGGGCAGGCTTCTGATGCGATTATATCTATAATTAAACGCGGATTGCTTTTTTTGAAAACGCTGTGAAAATAAATGATGCTGAGTTAAGGACAAGGATAAAATTTCCTCCCTCGGAGAGCACTGAAATCTGATTATGAGGTCGATCACCACAGCAGGAAAGCACCATTCCCTGAGAAGACACGCAGTTAGAATCATCAGCTTGCCTGTTATTACAGGACGGGATGACTTGAAGAGCTACAGGCCCCTGAATTCCCTCGAGTGTAGAGAACTCATCGGTCCTCCATCTTGGAAACCTGAACTAACCACCATTGTTCGATGGGACAGCGAATCCACGGCTAAAACAGTTTTAAGGAACAACAAAAGAAGTCTCCAAATCTCTGGAAATGGAAAAAAACACGACCAGTGCCACCTGAAATATAAAACGTTTTAACAAACTCGTGCTTGACCTGAGGGGTTAAGTTTTCAGTAGAAAAACTAAAAACTAATTTTGAATTTTTCAGGCAAAAATAGCACTGGCCCATGATGCCTTAAAACTGCAGCACAACAGGAGACAGATTCCATGTGGCCAGTGAGCAGCCCAGCCCTGTGCTAACACACCTCCCTGCACTTGGAGAAGGCCAGGGAGCCCACACTACTGGCAGCTTCTTCCCTCCAAAAAGGTTTCTCAGCTGCCTTCTTGATAGAGATAAAGGGCAATTTATTTGATTTCAAGCTTGTAGATGGACACCACTGGACACCACTGGACACCGGTGGGAGACAGTTACTGAGAAGCTTTGGAAACCAACTTTTAGTCCAAATTAACGGACTGTAAACACAACAGCTCCAAATCTAAGTCTTTTAAAACTTGCGTGATCTGGAAAATAAATTGATCAGCATCATATATCTTTAAAAAAAAAACTAAATAAACATCATGGTCCTTGCAGCACAAGCCAGCTGAGTTCAGATTCAGTGCTCTACACCTTCGACAGCTCATAAAAAAATCATCATAGGTATGCTGGGTCACCACTTTGATTTATTCACTTCTCAGAGCTTTCAAGCCTTGTTTGCATGACTGCCACTCAGCTATGAAGACACATTTTACCCATTAATACTGAGCTCCAGACTTGTCCCTTGAGGAAGAGGGCCAGGTGGACTCATTTCACACACTTACAAGTACCACTGGTGATGCAATTTTGTCCTAATCTTCTGTTATTCTGACAAGCCAGTTCAATTATAACCTCCAATCAAGCAAGCTGTTAGAGGACTGTGTTCTGAAGTTTAGACATACCTTGTCTAGATATTATATTATGCCTGTCCAACAAGCCTACATCTCAGACTTTCTGAAGCTAACGGGCTTTATAGCACTGACACTAGTGACCAAGCATCTTTAAAAGATTTAAAGGTTTAAAAGATTCCTTCAGAGCTCAGATCCCAGAAATGCACATTAACAATACACCCACATTTACAAGCAAGTGCAAGGGCTGTGACACCCAGAAACAACAAAGGACAAGAGGAAGAGGAAGGGTTAAAGTGGTCTTGGGGTACAATGTATACCGAGTCTGTTTTTCAAAACATAAAGAGCTTTTGTTATGTTTCTCTTGGCATCAATGCATGCTATTTCAATCGCCTGTAACACGGCTTACTTACTAAAGTTACTATCCCAGACACAGCACATAGCTGCAGGCTGCGAAACAGAAGTAAACTGTTTATATAGCAGTGGCTGAGAAAATGCTATGTAATAATATTGCTGTGCTACTGGACGGCCCCAGACACCACGGGGCTTCTGCTGTAAAAGGAACATGGCTGTTTTCTCTGCCCAGGAAAGACTGGCAAGGACGCAGAGAGGAGCAGTAGAGGGGCAGCTCAGAAGAAAAGGCAGGTGACATGCAGGTGAAACACAAATGAAAAGAAACCTTTTTGGTTACTTCAAACAGAAATATTGTCCTAATTGACCAGTAGCTAGCAATGGAACACGAGAGTTCTCCTTTCGAAAAGTGTCTGTTTAGTAGAAACAACCTTGTTATAACAGGACCAAAAACACAGACAAAAATGAAATATCACATACTTTAAATGCCATATTTAATATCCTCAATTATCTGCATATTAGACAATTTTGCATGAGGATTAAATGTCAATCTTAAATGGCACTATAGCTTCCTCCAGATGCTTCTCTGAATCTTTAACCTGCATTTTATTTACATCCTGTAATGCAACCCACTTTTTACCACCATTATTCAACATAATTCTGAAAAAAACACACTGATCATTACCAGGAATATACCATATGATTTGTGATTTATACTAATATTAGTCTTAATAAAACTAGATTACTATATGATACGATAGTATATACCATATGATCAGATTTGTCAATGTCTGACATAAGAGAAACGCGTCTCCACAGTTCAGCACTGGGAAATTAAATCGGACACCCAAACAAAATTAGAGATTTTCCACGCGTCAGAAATGTCTTTTCTTTACTAACAATCAACACAAACAGGCTTATAGCTCTGCTGACTGTGCAGTGCCTTCTGAC